CGCGCGGAAGAGGCGGGGTTGCGGGCGGGCCGCTGCCGGCCTGCTCATTGGCCGGTGCCTCCCCCGCTGCCGCCGCTGCAGCCTCTAGGGGTCAGGCACGCTGCGGCTCTGGTGCCCCGTCTAGACCCAGGTGGGCCCGGGTTAACGGAAAGCCCGTCAGCGGTCGGCCGCCTTTATTCCGAGCGTCACCCGGCCTGCGCTGCTCTGGGGAGAATGGCTCCCGGTGTTTCACCTCTTAGAGACCCAAGCCAAGGACACTGCTTGGGGCCCCCAAGCTGGGCCGCCCTTGGGAACATCCACCCGTGTAAAGCCCTCGCCCTTCCTAGGACCTGCACGTGTGGGTCCTTTTAGGACAGACTCATTTAGCTACCAACATAATGGTGACTAAATTTGCCAGGCATCCTGTATATACAGGACATGTCCTATGTTAGATGATTTTGTTCTGTATTGACATGTCCTCTGTTTAGCTTTTCCCAATAAATTTACCAAAAAAATCTGTAGTTTAGAGTTATTTTTCCACCTGGTGACTGGCACTTAAATAATTTCACTGTCAACACTGGCTAAAAAAAAAAAAAAAAAAAAATCATACCTTCCATAAATAAAGCTCTGGATAATCTTAACAGTCTCTCCTGCAGGTTTGGCTGTGTGAAGTTAAAACAGAATTAACAGATTAAAGTTATCTGTTTTTCATTTTCAAGTAATTGCCGTTAATTTGCACAACTTTGGGTCAGTACACATGTTCTGCAAATCAGCCAATAGAGTGACAGTCTCACTTAGGTGGTCCCAATTTGCTTCTGAAAGTTAGCAAATCAATGGCAGCCCAAGCTTCTGAACATGAACCAATTAGTGGCAAACACCCCTGAAAATTAGCCAATCAGTGACAAACACTCGGAAAAGTCAGCCAATCAGTGCCCTCAATATAGCGACCAAGACTTTGGAAATCACTGGGTCGCCATGTTCCAGTGACCACGGCCTGCTAGTGTGGCTGCCAACGTGAACGGACTTTAACTTGTATTGAACACGTGTTCAGATACACGCCTCCTACTCACCAAGCACTTCAATGCTATGGAGGGGAATTGGCCTCCCACTGCTATAAGATAGAACGATCCTTGCTATCTGGATATGGCTCTATCACAAATTTCTACTCCTTTTTTTTTTTTTAAAGATTTTATTTATTTATTTGAGAGAGAGAATGAGATAGAGAGAGAGCATGAGAGGGGGGAGGGTCAGAGAGAGAAGCAGACTCCCTGCTGAGCAGGGAGCCCAACGCGGGACTCGATCCCGGGACTCCAGGATCATGACCTGAGCCAAAGGCAGCCGCCCAACCGACTGAGCCACCCAGGCGCCCTCTACTCCTTTTGTTACCAAAACCATTTGGCTGCCTGTTACCTGAAAGATCACTCAAGAGACGAGTTTTGTTTGGAAAGGAATCTGAGCTTAATCAGGAGGCCAGCAACCGAGGGAGAAGTTGGACTCTTGTCCAAAAGCCCACTCCGAGGTTTCTGCCTGGCCCGGGGGGCTTAAAGGAGTTTAGGATAGTTAATCGGCAAAGACTGGGCAGTGGCCTGTAGCATTTCTTGATCACTTGCAGATCTGAGGCCAGCTAGAAACATTTTCAGTGCTGGGGTTGTGCGTGGGGGTCCTGTTCTTGTGTCCTGATGTGCCCGAGTACTCCCTTCTTTCTGGAAAGCAGGGCAAGGTCTACAGATACACAAAGGGAGGTTAGTAAAATCATTAGTGTAACCTAAAAAAGAATATTTTGCTAAAAAAAAAATTGCTGGACTGATCAGAAAGCTGAGACGGCTTCAAACAGACTTGCTGGCCTTTGGGACCTGGGAAGGTTCTGGTTCTTCTCAAGGCCAATGGTCTGCAAATCTCAAAGTAAAATAGTTCTGTTACAGACTGAGGCCTTAGGTCAGCAAGTAAAGAGTGTTAACCCTTAAGACCGGCTGGAGTGCTGTTACACTTCCACAGGAATTAGACTATTACTAACAAACTACAGCTTAAAGTCCTGTCATGGAGAGTACAATAGGTATCTCCTGCTGCATAATCATCCCAAAACTTTGTGGCTGAAAACAATATACATTTATTATTGCTTAAAGTTTCTGTAGACCAGGAATTCAGGAGTGGTTTGGCTGGAAGATAGCAGCTTGGGATCTCTCATGAAGTTCCAGGCAGGTGTCACCTGGGGCTGCACTCATCCGAAAGCCTTGACTGAGCCTACAGCATCCGCAGCCAAGATAACTCAAGTACACGACTGGCAAGTTGGTACTGGTTATTGGTGTGAAACTTCAGTGCCTTCCCACACCAGTTTCTGCACACAGCTGAGTGTCCTCACATGGCTACAGGATTCTACCTAAGGTAAACAATCCAAAAGGCCAAGGCCAGGGGCACCTGGCTGCCTCAGTTGGTGGAGCATGTGACTCTTGATCTCAGGGTCATCAGTTCAAGCCCCACACTGGGTGTACAGTTTACTTAAAAAATTAAAAACTTATTAAAAATAAAAATTAAAAAAGGCCAAGGCCAACTAGTGTTATGACCCAGCCTCGGAAGTCATGCACCATCATCACCTCAATATACTACCAACACAGGCCAGTCATAATACAGTATTAGATGAGATACACAAGGGCATGAACGCAAGGATTAGAATCACTGCGGACCATATGGAGGCTGCCTAGCGCTGAGATTTTGCCTATCACAGAAACTATGTATTTTATAAAATTTCCAGTATTTTTATTGTAAAGCTTCTGTAAAATTGTTTTAAATAAATGAATTAGATTTCCAGGAACAATAGCATGATGAGGACTTTTATTTTCATATTGCCCCTTCTCTAAACCTATCAAAATGAACATCTACCATGAATCTAGAAAGATGGGCACACATATATGGGTGCACACACACACATATACATCACAAACCCTTAAAAAGTATTAGCCAGGGGCGCCTGGGTGGCTCAGTCAGTTAAGCATCTGCCTTTGGTTTAGGTCATGATCCCAGGGTCCTGGGCTGGAGCCTCATTTTGGACTCCCTGCTCAGCGGAGAGCCTGCTTCTCCCTCTCCCTCTGCTGCTTCCCCTGCTTGTGCTCGCTCACTCTCTCAAATAAAATCTTAAAAAAAAAAAAAAAGTATTAGCCAATTATCACAATCAGGTCTAACTTGAAGGGGTACAATATTGGACACGGAATTCCTCTATCTGGTATTACAGTGCAGGGAGAATATGAGAGTTTTGGGTAGACCCAAATAAAAATCCCCAAGTTGTGAAAATGAGAATTGGAATCATGGGCAGTCAGAGGAGAAAACTGGGAGCATGGAACAAGAGTCCCATTCTTTCCCAGAGCAGCCTCACCAGAAGGACAGAGTACAGGCAGTGCGGACCTACAGGCAGCTAGAAAGCAAGGTGAACCAGGAGATGGGACACTTGAGCTGCTTTTACAGCTGTCAGTGAGCCTGCTCATGTATCAGCAAAATTGAAGGTCTGGAGCTGGATGTCCCTCACCTGGCCAATGCCACAAGGACTGGCTCTCCCTAACACACTATCCCCAGCCACTAGCCAGTGCAATAAGGCAAGAAAAAAAATCCAGAATTGGAAAGAAGTAAAATGGTTATGAACATGATTCTCAATGTTAGAAAAATGTTATTAAAATAAGTGAGTTGTGCAAGATTGCAGGATACAAGGTCAAAATACAAAAATCAATTGCATTTCTATATACCATCAATGAATATTTAGGAATTTGCTATTACAATGGCATCAAAACATGATATATTTAGACAAATCTGAGAAAAGGTGTGGAAGACTTATACAGTAAAAATTACAAAACACTGCTGAAATAAAGATCCAAATGAGAGATTTACCATGTTTTTGAGTTAAAAGACTATACAGTTAAGAAAGCTGTGAATTCTCCCCAAAATTGATCTGGAGTCCATACAATCTCAATCAAAATTTGAGGGTATGTTTTGTAAAAATTTGCAAACTGATTCTAAAATTCCTGTGAAATGCAAAGGAACTAGAATGGCCACAACTTTGGCAAAACACAAAATAGGAAAACTAACACTGTGTGACTTCAACACTTAGAAAAAGTACAGTAATTGGGGCACCTGGGTGGCTCAGTTGTTAAGCATCTGCCTTTGGCTCAGGTCATGATCCCAGGGTCCTGGAACTGAGCCCCACACCAGGCTTCCCATTCAGCAGGGAGTCTGTTTATCCCTCTCCCTCTGTCCCTCTCCCCCGACCCCACCTGTGCTCACTCTCTCTCAAATAAAATCTTAAAAAAAAAAAAAATTAAGAGAACGGAAAGGCAAGCCACATGCTGGGAGAAAATGTTTAGAAATCACGTATCTGGAAAAGGACTTGTATCCACAATATATAAAGAACCCCCCCACCCCCCAAAAGACCTCCCAAATATCAATAAAAAGAAAACAACCCAATAAAAACATAGGCAAAAGATATGGACACTTAACCTAAGACATATGGAAGGCAAATAAGCACATGAAAGTATGTTCAACATCATTAGTCATTAGGGAAATGCAAAGTAAAATCACAATGAGACAGCATTATACTTTAGAAGAGCTAAAATTTAAAACAATATTAAGCATACCCAAAGATGTCTTGGAAGTATAACTCTCATACAATGCTGGTACGGATATAAAATGGTACAACTTCTTTGTAGGGGTTTAAGATTCTTAAAAATGTAAATATATACTGGGGCGGGCACCTGGGTGACTCAGTCAGTTGAGCATCTATCTGACTTCAGCTCAGATAATGATCTCAGGGTCCTGGGATTGAGCCCTGCGTCAGGGCATCCAAGGTCCCCGATCCGCAGGGAGTCTGCTTGTCCCTCTCCGCTCCCCCCAACCCCGCTCCTGTGCAGGCACATGCTGTCTCTCCCTCTCTCTTAAATAAAACCTTTTTTAAAAATGTAAATATATACCTACCTTATGACCCAGGCATTCCACTCTCTTAATTACCCAAGAGAAATAAAAGCATACGTCATTACAAAGACTTAAATACAAATGTTCATAGCAGCTTTATTTGTAATAACCAAAAACTGGAAATAGCCCAAATGGCCATCAAGAGATGAACAGACAAATTTTGGTATTTCCATAGTGGAATACTACTCAGCCAAAAAAAAAAACAAAAAAAAACCCACTGATATAATGAATATGTAACATAGGTAAATCTCAAAATAATTTATGCTGAAAGACACCAGACCAGAAAGAATACATACGATGGGTTATTTATATAAAAGCAACTCATCCAAAGTGACAGCAGATCAGCAGTTGCTGTGCAAAGCTATGAGAGAGGGATTACCAAGGGGCATAAGCTATTTGGGGGGGTTATGGCTCTGTTTATTATCTTGACTGTGGTGACTATTTCAATGGTGTATACATAAGTCAACCCTTAGCAATGGTATTATAATAAGTAACACTTTTATTAGGTTCCATTGTTCTAAGCATTCCTATGTGTATTAATGCAATTAATCCTCAACACAAACCTATGAGGTAGACTGTCATCCAGATTTTACAGATAAAGAAATTAGTAGTGTCTGTACTTAACCAAGGTAACACACCTGGGCTCATACGAAAGTCAGCCTGGCTCTGTATTATTATCCACTACTCTGCTTCCTGCAGTGGGCAAAGTCAAGCAGCTTGCAAAAGGGGTATGCTAAAACAGAACACTTTATATCTCCCCTCATCGCCACTGGTAACAGAAAATAACGGACACTTCTTCCATGATAAGATAGAACTAAATGAAGTTGCAAGGAAATGCTTCCTGCTATGAGGGTGACTTGGAAGAGCAATGAGATGGATGAATAAATAGGGCCTTGCATTTCACTCAAAGGATACATATATACCCCAACTTTCGCAAAGGCACAGATTACAACTGAGCAATGATAAGTAACTACAGAGTAAGTAGTGTGGGTGGGCACTGCACCTGAGGTAGGTCTCTGAAAACTTGCAGCCTATTACGAATATCCTCCAAAATACAGATGGCTCCACATGGACAAGTGCCCTCTGTTTCTGAGTCTAGGAGACTCCTAATATAGATTGTGATAGGGTTTCTTTTCTGGTTGACCCCTTGTTTAGTGTTGCACACCTGAGAATGGATGCATGGGAGACAAAGGTTCAAAATCTAAAAGTTTATACTAAGCTCACACTTGAGGGTACTAAACACTGGGTGGAACTTATGTTCCCTTAGAATTTTGCAGGAATACACCACTGTCCTCTAACTTTCAAGACTGCTGTTCTGAAATCTATTGCATTCTTATACCTGATCTTTTGTTTTTTCTAGAACCTTTTTAAGATCTCCTCTTAAAGCCTGGAGTTTTGATAATTCACAGCGGTGTCCCCTGATGTAGGCCCTCCCACACATCCCTCATCCGTCTTGCGGGGCACTCAGGGACACCACAAACTCCACAGAGTATCAGCCAGTTACATTTCCTTGTACATCTGAGTTTGGGGGTTTGTTTCTTCTTTTCTAACTGTAAAGAGCGTGCTGGCGAACAGGAGTGGGGAGAAACAAGGAGGCACAGCACACCCAGCTGCAGACAACCCTACTCTTGCACAGGTATCTTCTGTGTGTGTAGTTTCCGATGCAGAGTGAATCGCCCACACCAGCTGAAGGTTTTCCCACACACCTCACACTCGTACGGTTTCTCACCAGTGTGAACTCGCTCGTGCTGGACCAGGGTGATTTTCTGACTAAAGGCCTTCCCACACTCCTTACATTCAAAAGGTTTCTCCCCGGTGTGAATGCGCTGATGCTGAGTCAAGGCTGTGGGGGAGCTTAACCGTTTCCCGCACTCTTTACATTCGTAGTGCTTCTCCCCAGTGTGCACTCGCTGATGGACGATAAAGCTTGAGCTACAACTGAAAGTCTTCCAACATTCGTTACATTCATAGAGTTTCTCCCCAGTGTGGAACCTCTGATGCTGGAGGAAAACAGAACTGCTAATGAAGGCCTTGCCGCACTCCTTACATTCATAGGGCTTCTCTCCAGTGTGGATTCTCTGATGCTGAATCAAGGCCGTGTCTGAACTTAAACCTTTCCCACATTCTTTACATTTAAATGGTTTCTTTCCAGTGTGAATTACCTGATGCCGAATAAGTAATGAGTTGTATCTGAAGGCTTTTCCACATTCTTTGCATTTGAAAGACCTTTCACCAGTGTGACATCCCTGAAAATCCGCCACTCGACTAAAGTATCTGCCACATTTTCTACATTCGTATGATAGCTGACCACTAGGAACTGTCTGATCTGTACTGAGTTGCCTGCTGACACTAACGTTTTCCCCAGATTTCTCACACTGCTCCCCACTCCCAACGGTGCAGGCCTCGCGATGGCTGGTTGGCCCATCTGTGAAATCTCTCCTCTTTGACTTGGCCTTCTTAGCTACCCAGTGACCATGCTGCTGCTCTGGGCTGCTCCCAAAGTCCAGGTGCTGGGGAACATTCCCTGGCAGCCCTCCTAATGTCAGTCTGTGGGACTCCGTTTCTTTAGAAATGTGTTCCTTTGGAGTTGATTCTTCCTTCTCAGCTCTGGTCTCACCCCCTGAGATCATGGGGGAAAAAAAAAAAAAGATGTCAGCTTCTGATAGTGCTGAAGGGGAAAAGGATCAAGTGGCTATTTTTCTATAGGTACACAAAATGGCCACCGAAGACCACCACACAGCAGAGCCCCACAAGTGAAATGAAGACACTATGGGTGGGAGGCAAGCAAGGCCGGGAGGCATTCCCATAAAGAGTGTAAAGACGGGAAAACAGCCAAGACTGTTACCTACTAGGGCGGGAAGACCAACCGCTTTCTCCCAAGTGAATGGGTGAGGTAAGAAGGTATGGAAAAGTGATGAATCTCAGAGGTCAGAGGAAGACCACCAGATTGAGGAAGGGGCAGGTCAAGCAGCTCAAACTACAAAGGGTCCCACAATTGATTCCTTAAAAGCTGCTTATTATTTACAACATTATCCAAGTCATAATCTTTGAAAAGAGAATGGTCTCTGTCGTCAAGCTGACGCTAGTAAAGCAGCAGCCTCCAGTGTGGTGGCTAAGGGGACTATGGTGGGCTAACATGACGGCAGCTGCAAGGAAAGGGGAAGACATGGAGGCTTGCTTCTAAAATAAAGAGCGCTCACTGCACGTGTGAAGAACCCTTCCAAGAACGGACATAAGCCTCAGGGAGGACCTGGTAATGATGTTTGTGCTTTTCCTAAACTGCTGCACACTGTATATAGTTTAATATGACAGCAGGAATGTGAAATAGAGAAAACCAAAAGCTATTTTCCCTCTCCTTTTAAGGCCTTTTGCAGGCTAAGATAATCTTCAGCACTGGGCCAGGGCAACCTCATGTGTTTACAAGCAAACTGTTTAAAAAATGCTCTTTACCCAGATAGGCTGAAGTCCTGGGAAAGGCAGAACTTTCACACAAGGCTTGGAGTGGGGGGAGTTGTGCATTATTTATGGACATTCTCTGTGAAGAGTCCGAAGAGCACATGAAATTTTTACAGGCAGAATAGGGGTGAAACAGTTTTAAAAAAGGCAAAAAAAAAAAAAATACACTGTTGTTATTTTTAATTCTCAGATCAATACCTTTCAAAATGAGGAAGCCATTCACCTTTCTTTTATAGTAAGTTTTGTTTCAAAAGTTCAGCTGTTAAAATCAAAGTTTTTTTAAGTGTCTATAGGGGAAAAATGACAGGCTTCAGGTGGGTGTTGAGGCAAGGGAATCATGGGATGTGTTGTGCTGGTGTCTGCCTACGTGTGAAAATTTCCATTATGAAAATGAATTTTTTTATTTTTTTAAATAATAAAATTTTATTTTATTTTTTATTTTTATTTAAGTTGGTGTTTGGGAACTCTAACTCAGTTTCCCAGAGAGGAGCCTGGCTGGCTCACTCAGTAGAGTAGGCAACTCCTGATCTCAGGGTTATAAGTTCGAGCCCCACATTGGGTGTAGAGTTTACTTTAGAAAAAAAAAAATTCCCAGGGGCGCCTGGGTGGCTCAGTCATCAAGCGCCTGCCTTCGGCTCAGGTCATGATCCCAGAGTCCTGGGATCGAGCCCCACATCGGGCTCCCTGCTCGGCGGGAAGCCTGCTTCTCCCTCTCCCACTCCCCCTGCTTGTGTTCCCTCTCTCACTATGTCTCTGTCAAATAAATAAATAAAATCTTTAAAAAAAAAAAATTCCCATAGAAATAATGTACTCTGTGAATATGTGGATGGCCAGATAGGCCCCAGAAGCCTATTTTCCTTCTAAGGTGGTTGACATCCTCATCTCTACAACAACAAACTGGTGGAAAAATAAACTTTCCACAAGACAGGGCTCAAAAGAGCTGTCATGGTTCAAGAGCTGCTCGCTCAGTCACATGATGTCCCTTAGCAGGTGGTGAGGTGGAGAGGCAAAGATGAACATCCAGAGAAATCTTGCAGCCATGCCTTTCCTGGAAGAGACTGGCCCCTCCTCATTTGAAAGGGGCTACCACCATGAACGCAGAATCACATGTAATGATTCCAGAGGAAAGAAAACAGTCTCACAGAGAAGAAACACTTTACATACATTCAAATGTGAAAATAGGAAAGCAGGCTAAGCAAAAAAGACAGCTGGTAGGTTCTCATGCTCACCTGGACAGATGCCTCTGAGGGCTTCTCTGCCTGCAGGCTCCCAGGGTTCCAGGCCCCATGGTAGTTCCCCTCGCTCTAGCTGGGAGACCAGAACAGGCCTGGTGAATAGAAAAGCTGCCCAGGAAAAAGAAACAGGAACAAAAAGTAAAGGGAATCAGGGAGCAAGGTCCCCTTTTGGCTGTCTGTACGTTTCTTCACTGAGCCAGGGAGGGAAATAAAGACAAGTCAGCCTGTGCTATCTTGGAGGACAGAAAATTCCCACAAACAGGGGCAGAGTCCTGGAATAACCCCCCACTCGCATGAGGGAGTCCCAGATCTTCTTCAGAGAACTTGGAAGACAGAGGCAAAGGGCTCTGCTGAGCTCCCAAGAGCTCTTCCTTTCCCTCCATGCATGGGGCAGAGTCCCTCCCAGGGCAAGAGGGACAGATTTCAAAACCTGGGAACCCAAAACTCTCCCCACCCAGCAGCCTCTGAGGAGCTCAGCCTTTGGAGCAACCGCCCATGAGGATTATCAGAGAGGCCACAATATCTAAGGAAGAAAGTAGCCAGGATGCACAAACAGCAGATGCAGACAACAGCAGGGAGAAGAGAGTCCTTACCCAGGGAAGCCACATTTGCATAATTCTCCAGCATCACCTCCCGGTACAGAGCCCTCTGTGAAGGGTCCAGGATAACCCATTCATTCTGAGTGAAGTACACAGCCACGTCCTCAAAGGTCACTGGCTCCTGAAACAACAGGTTCCTGCTCAAGCCCTGTGTGAAGGCAGAGGAGCCGAAGTATTGGGGCAGAGACCTACTGGGTGTGGTGGTATTGCCAAGGACAGTTCTCCAGTGCCCCCAACTCCCCGCGGGGGCCAGCCCTCAGCCAGCATCACCCTCATCAACAGGAAGAGTCCAAGACCCACTGCACCCCTTTGTGGTCATCCCCACAAACAGCCCTTCCTTCCCCTGCTGACCCCTGTGTTGACTCTGCCGGGCCCTGCTCTATGTGCCCGTTAGTCCCTCTGGCTCCTTTCCATGGGTTTTGTGTGCACACGCACAGGGAACATCTGTATAAACACAGCCCACCGCACTTTTGTACTGATCTCCACTCCCTCCCTAATCCCACTAAAGTGACAGTAACATAATGGCCCAAGAGGAGAAGAGTCAGAGCAGACCAGGGTGTTAAGAGAATTTTAGAAGGCAGAAAGGATGAATGTAGGTACTTAATGAGAAGAGCAGAGAAAGCTGAATGTTAACTGCTGGCAGAGGGGGAAGCAAACAAAAAGGAGGCTGATCATCATACAAAACCAAGGATGAGCTCCGGATTTTTTAAGTGTGCTCTGCTATTTAAAACTTGGTAAAATATTCTATCTGTTTAAAAGCACCAGGGAGAAGAGAGGACCCACAAGTACTTAGGGCAGTAAATGAAAAATAGCTACACTAAGGTATATCACTGAGAAGTCTCAGAAAAATGAAAGCATTAAAAAAAAAAAAAAATCCTAAAGGCTTTCAGAGCAGGAAAAACAACACACACACAAAGACTGGGGAGTCAAGATGGCAACAGACCACATGGTGAAAGTAAACGGGGAAATGTTTTTAAAAATGCTGAGTGAAGGGGCACCTGGGTGGCTCAGTCGGTTAAGCCTCAGACTCTTGATTTCTGCTCAGATGATGATCTCGGTGTCATGAGATCAGCCCTGCATCGGGCTCTACACTCGGTATAGGCAGTCTGCTTGGGATTCTCTCTCTCTCAAATAAATTAATTAATTTAAAAAATTAAAAAAAAAAATGCTGAGTGAAAATTTCTGCTTCTCGTTCAGATGGAGTCAAAGGGATTGGGTTTATTCTGCCTGAACCAAAACAAGACAAATTACACAACACAAGTTATCAAATAATGGGTGACAGCAATGAAGGACAACAATCCCAGAGGGACGGGAAACAAAGAGGTGACCCCTATGACTTGCCAAGTTTACTACCTTGAAAGAGTTTCCAGGCTGTAACACAGGGAAGGGGAAATGAGGCAGAGCCCGGCAGATTCCCTGGTAGCTTCTGAGGAGACCAAGACAGCAGAGTTTGGAACAGAATACCATAGAGAAGAGAGCTGCACAGAGAAAAAACCTAATTCCCTGCAGAGGGTGCCCTAGAGTATTCAACAGAATGACCAGGGCACAGGTGTGTGGAAACTACCCAAAGCCAGAGAAAGGATCACTAGAAAGGATCATTTGAAAGGACTGAAGGGCACAATGCCTGGCGTTCACACAGGGCCAGAAACAGTGCCTATTTCCACTATCCACACTGGAAAATTTCATACTTCATAGGCCGCTGGACAGAGCTCTCAGGAAACTCTTGCCTCAGTAGTGGAGAATAATTATTCCTAGGCTGAGTACCACTCCAGGTTCTACTAGCAAATGATAAATATCAGGGCCAGAAAGGATCAAATTGTTTCCAAGTAAACTGAAACTTATTCCAGAAAAGATACAAGAATATTTGGGGGAGGGGCATCTGGCTGGCTCAGTCAGTAGAGCATGCAACTCTTGATCTTGAGGTGTTTCTTTTTTTTTTAAGATTTTATTTATTTATTTGACAGAGAGAGGGAGAGAGCACAAGTAGGCAGAGAGGCAGGCAGAGGGAGAGGGAAAAGCAGACTCCCCGATGAGCAGGGAGCCCGACGTGGGGCTTGATTCCAGGACCCTGGGATCATGACCTAAGCCGAAGTCGGGCGCTTTGACCGACTGAGCCACTCAGGCACCCCTTGATCTTGAGGTTTTTAAGTTCGAGCCCCATGTTAGGTATAGAAATTACTTAAAAATAAAATCTTAAAAAAAATTTTTTTAAGAAGAATATTTTGAGAGGGGTGCCTGAGTGGCTCAGTCGTTAGGCGTCTGCCTTCAGCTCAGGTCATGATCCCAGAGTCCTGGGACTGAGCCCTGCATCGGGCTCCCTACTCCGCGGGAAGCCTGCTTCTCCCACTCCCACTCCTTCTGTTTGTGTTCCCTCTTTCGCTGTGTCTTTATCAAATAAATAAAATCTTTTAAAAAAAAAAAAAAGAAGAAAAATATTTTGAGGACTATAAAAAATCTAGAATCCAACAAGGTAAAATTTACAATATCTGGCATTCAACCACAGATTACTAGGCATTCAAAGAAGCAGGAATACGTGACCTATAATGAGACCAGTCAATCAAAACCAACCCAGAACTGATAGATGTTAGCATTAGCAGAGATGGACATTAAAGCAGTTATTATAAATGAACTCCAAATGTTCAAAAGTTAAATAGAGACAAGGAAGATATATATTAAAGATTTACTTATTTGAGAGAGAGAGAAAGCGTGTACGCACGTGAGCTGGGGGGGAGGGGCTGAGGGGGAGCGAGAGAACTCAAGCAGACTCCCAGCTGAGTGTGGAGCCCTACATCTGGCTCGATCTTGATGCATCTGGATCTCACTATCCTGAGATCACGACCTGAGCAGAAACCAAGAGTCCTACACTTAACTGCCTGAACCACCCAGGCACCCCAAAGATAAATTTTTTTAAGGCCCAAATCAAACTTCTAGATATGAAAACTGAATGTCTGAGATGAAAAATATAATTCATGGGATTGACAGCAAATCTGACATTGCAGAAAAAGAAAAAAACAACTTGTGAACTTGAAGGCTTAGCAATAAAAACCAACCAAAAGGAAACAGAGAAAAAGACTGAAGGCAAAAAGAACAGAGCCATCAGGGAGCTATGAGAGAACCTTGAAAAGCCTAATGGACAAGTAATTGAAGGTGGACTGATAAATTAAAGATGCACACTACAAACCCTACAGCAATCTCTAAAACAGTAACATGAAGAGTTATAGTTTATATATAGCCAACGAAGAGGAAAACATGGAATAAAACACACCATTAGTCCTAAAGAAGGTGGAAAATCAGGAGAAAAGGGAACAAAGAAAGGACAATTAGAAAACAATTAGAAAGATGACAGACTCAAATCTAACCATATCAATAATTATGCCAAAATACATAAATCTAAACATCCCAACAGGTAAACATTATCAGATTAGATTTTCTAAAAAGCAAGGGCCTACTATACACTGCCTTCAAGAAATGCATATTACATGTAAAGACAAGAATAAGTTAAAAGCAAAAAGACGTAAAAAAAATATATACTAGTCCAAGAAAAAGCTGGAGTGGATATATTAATTTAAGGCAATGTAGATTTCAGAGCAAAGAATTTTTTTTTAAAGATTATTTATTTCAGAGAGAGTGCGGGGAGGGGCACAGGGAGAGGGAGAGTAGGAGAGAATCCTCAAGCAGACTCCCTGCTGAGCTCAGAGCCCAACATGGGGCTGATCCCAGGACCCTGAGATCATGACCTGAGCTGAAGTCAGGCTTAACCAACTGAGCCACCTAAGCGCCCCCAGAGCAAAGAATATTAAGAGATAAAGTCATTTATAACCATAAAGGGATTAGGTCATCATGAAGATGTAACAATTCTACATGTTTATGCAGGTAGTAACAGAGCTTCAAAATACATGAAGCAAAAACTAATAAAACTGCAAGAGAAACAGACAAATCCATAATTAGAGCTGGAAATTTCAATAACCCCTCTCAACGAGGATATAGCAAACATGAATAATACTATTACCCAACTTGACTTAATGGACATTTACAGAACACCCCACAACAGCAAAAAACACATTCTTCTCAGGTGTCCAAGGAACACTTTGTAAAGTAGACCATATTCTGGACCATAAAAGAAGAAGAAATCAAGTCATACAAAGAATGTTCACTAACCACAACAGAATTAAATTAGAAGTAACAGAGAAACGCATGGAAAATTCCCAAATATTTATAAACTAAATAACACACTCTTAATTAACACATAGATCAAAGAATAAAACAGAAAAGAATGCAGAAAGTGTTTTGAACTGAAGGAAAATGAAAACACAAGGTACCAAAATTAGTGATGCTGCTAAAGCAGTACTTAGGAAGACATTTATAGTATTAAATGCCTGTGTAATAAAATTTAAAAGGAAAAAAGGTCTTGAATCAGTGACCTCAGATTCACCTTTAGAATCTAGAAAAAGAACAGCAAATTTAACAAAAACTAAGTAGAACAAACAAAATAAAGATCGAAATGGAAACCAGTGACATAAAATAGACAAGAAATAATAGAGAAAATCACCAAAACCAAAAACTGGTTCTTTGTGAAGATCAATGCAACTTAAAAATCTCTGGTCAGATTAATCAGAAAAAAGAGAAGAAATAAATTAGCAAAATTAGTTCTAAAAAAGGTGACATCACTGCAGATAATAAAAGGATAATAAGGAAATATTCTGAACAACTTTATGCCATTAATGTCTACAACTGAGATAAAATAGACAAATTTCTTTTTAAGTTTTTATTTTTTATTAGAGAGAGAGCACAAGCAGGGGGAGTGGCAGGCAGAGGGAGAGGGAGAAGCAGGCTCCCCGCTCAGCAGGGTGCCCAATGTGGGGCTCGATCCCAGGACCTCAAGATCATGACCTGAGCTGTAGGCAGATGCTTAACCATCTGAGCCACCCAGGCACACAAAATAGACAAATTTCTTCAAAGAGACAAATTACCAACACTCATTCAAGGAGAAATAGAATAGCCCTATACCTACCAAAGGAACTGAAACTGTATTTTAAAACTTATCAGAAAGAAAACTCCATACCTAAGTGGTTTCACTGGTGAATTCTACCAAACATTCAAGGAAGAAATGTAATCAGTTCTACACAAATTCTTCCAAAATATTGAAGAGGACAGAATACTTCCCAACTCATTCAATGGGACAAAGAGATGACAAGAAAAGAAAACTGCAGATCGATACCTCTTACAAACATAGATGCAAAAATTCTAAACAAAATTTTAACAAAAGAGAATCGAAAATATAGTAAAAGAATAATACATCATGACCAAGTGGTTTTTATCCAAGGAGTGCAAGGTTGGTTGAACATTTGAAAAATTAATGTAATTCACCACAGTAAGAAACTAAAATAGAAAAATCATATAATCTTCTAAACCAACATAGAAAAAGCAAACATCATTTCAAAATCCAACATCCATTCTTGATAAAAATTCTCAGCAAGCTAGGCACTGAACATCCTCAATCTGATAAAGGGCATTTAAAAAAACAAAACAAAACCTATGATGGAGTAATCATACTTAATGGTGAAATATTGAATGCTTTCACCTTAGGATCACAAATAAGACAAGGGTATTTGCCCTCACCACCCGTACTCAACATTAAATGGAGGTTCTAGCCAGTGCAGTTAGGCAAGAAAAAGAAATAAAAGGTATCCAGACAGAAAGAAAGAAGTAAAATGTCTTTATTCGTAGATGGCATGTCTAGGTAAAAAATCCAACAGAATCTACCAAAAAAAAAAAAAAATACCAGAATTACTTTACCCAAGGAAAGACTGCTCCAATCTTGTGGACAGAGGTGAAAAGGGTCTTCGCTGTATGCAGTGATGCAGATTTCTACTTTTCAGCCTTGATTTCAACTCTATCCCAATCAATCCCCCACACCTGCCTTTCTATCCTGATTATATCTTAGGTTGGGCATTCTCATCTCTCCATCCCTCTCAGCTCCTCCTCCCACACCTGATAGTGACAGCCACACAATGAAAGCCACAATCTTGTGAAACAGGAACCTCGGGAACAAGCCCCATGTGCACCTGTGAAACTCCCCGCTGCCTGCTGGCCCACTGGCTTTTCTTTATTTTATTTTATTTTATTTATTTGACAGAGAGAGAGACAGCGAGAGAGGGAACACAAGCAGGGGGAGTGCGAGAAGAAGCAGCAGGCTCTCTGCTGAGCACGGAGCCCGATGCGGGGCCCGATCCCAGGACGCCGGGATCATGACCCGAGCCGAAGGCAGACGCCTAACGACCGGGCCACACAGGCACCCCCTACTGGTTATTATCACTTAACTTGCAGAGCAAAGCACCAGCTAAGGAGGAAGCCCCCACCGGTCCAAACCAGTCTCCTCCAAATCGACCCAAGCGCTGAACTTTCACGACTTTTTCCCTCATTATAATACTAAAAATCATGCCCAGGGCTGGAGATTTAACAAGTTCATTACGCAAGCGATGCATGAAGAAACATGACCTTAAGTGTGTAGGTGCGAATAAATCCCTGCCTCTACTTCCTTAGACGGCACTCTCTTCCCACCTAAGTATCTTTAAAAATTCTCCTTGACCTCTCCTCGGAGAGTCAACCTGAGGATTCTTTGTGGTGCTCCCCTGTGCTCGAGCTTAAACGCCGATAAAGCCTTTCTTGTGACTTTAAATTTTGGGTGCAGTCTCGTTTCTACCGATGCTGAGTCCAAGGACCCGAGTCCCGTAACACCAGGACAACTCAGGCTCTGGATGTAGACCGACATCTGCTCTCTCTTGACATCTAAGGGGGGGAGGGGGGGCAACGGAGCAGAGAGGATGCTCGCTCACCTGGCACCACGTGATCTGGAGCATGGCTGGGGTCCCCACTTCACACAGCGCCGTCAGGGTTCGAGGTGAGACTGAAGAGAAAATAAAGAGGCACGGGTGGGGCTGCTGCGGCCGGGCACCCGGCAAATGCCGTCTGTCCGCCCGGGCCCCCCTCCGTCCCGGTACCCCCTCACCCCAGAGGCACGGGGATTGGAGAACCGGGTACTGGAGAAGGCCGTGGGGATGTGACCCCGTTAGCCGGACCCGGAGCCCCAGCGACCGCTAACGCCGCGCGCCGCAGACGCAGGGAACGCGTGGGAAGACGGCGAACCTGCGCTCCCGGGAAAGCTTAGGACCCGCTCCGCCGGAAGCACGTAGGGCCGTTTCCCTTCCTCTCTAGGAACCTGAAAACGTGCTCGTCTCCGTGGTTCCCGAGCCCCACTGCTGCAGCCACTGTCCCTACTCTCCGAGACTGCGAGCCAGAGTTGCGGGCTCTAGGCTCGGGTCCTGCAGCGCCCTCTCTCGGTAGCCCCTCCGGGGGATGTGGTCCGGCCGGCTCAGGCCACAGAAGGGTTGCAATCCCGTTTGCCCCTCCTGGCTGCTTTTCCAGGTCCTGAAGGCACCACTGCCAAAGCTGCCTAGGTTCTGTGGCTGCGCGGCAGTGAGGGCGTGTGGGGCCCATCACCTGAACAGCCAACTGTGTATTGGTGGAGAGCATGGACTGCGTAGGTCTGGGAACCTGGCTGGACCACTTCTTAGCTGTGTGAGCAGAAGCAAGTTTCTTTGCCTGTTTCCGTGTCTGTTAAATGGGTAGAAGAGTGATACCACCCTCAAAGGACTGTTGAGGCTTAGTAATCAAATGAGTCAATGGATTAACAAAGTATTTACAGTAGTGCCTGGCACACATTAAGAGCTTGCGGGTTGTTTTGTTTTCTAATTGTGTTTTTTGCTTTCGAAGATACAAGCGCTGCTGGGACTTCCAAGATATGGCACAGTTTAGGGAAAGGGCTATTAACATTTAGCCTTAGACCCTTTCCCACCCTATATCTGGGTATGTGTTCCAGGCCCAGCCTGGAACCAGATTTCAGCTAAGGGCCCAGCAGCCTTCCCTGTGAATACTGGGTCCTCCGTATTAAGTTGAATGTTTCATTTAGCTTCTCCTCTGCCAGTCTTCAGAACCACTCTATCCTCAAAGACTTGTCAGAGCACCCCACTATGCAGCTAGACCTGCCAATGGGATAGCGACCATGATTTGCCTTTATTGCTTGTTTGCAAGCCAAGCAAATGTCTCCACCCTATCCCAAGAGGCTCTTCTTGGAGGTTGCCAATGTGGGAAGGCTCTGTTTTACTTTGAGGGTTCTAATACTCCTGAGAATAGCTTCAGAGGCATGGCTTCTACTAGCCAAGCACTACTGTTCTATATAAGAACTGTCCTCCTCAAAGAGGACTTTGGCTGCCTCCATTCTGACCCCAAACTTCTTAGTTGGGTTCTTCTTTCCAGCTTGGCTCTTGGCTCAGGAAGAAGATCCATAGGACCAAGTATCCCCTGATGGGAACCAAAACTACCCCTTCAAGCAACAAGAACTGCCCTGCCGCAGCAAGACCCTACCAGTGATTGATTCCAAGACTTTGATGGCACGTACCCACCAACTTTGTCCCACATTTTCCTTACATAAACCTGGAAGTATTTTTGGCATTTTGGAGACAGTCTTTGAGACATTAGTCCGCTCACTGAAATAAATTCCTTTCTTGTTTCACCACCACTCGTTTCTCTGCCTTTGGGTTTTGTCAGTCGCAGAACCTAGTCTGTTTGGGACCCCAGGAGCCAGGGGCTCTTGAGCTACACTCCCTCTTCTCCAAGATTAGGAAGAATGATTTGAGCATTCTAGACGCTGAGCAGGGAGAGGAGCCTAGAGATTCAGTATGCATCCTTTGATAATCCCAGTTTTCTAGAAACTGGGTGGCTCACTCATGCCACCTCAGCTTTGCATGAAAAACATCTATGGTTCCCCAGTTCAAGAAAATGCACTTCCAGATTTCTCCCTGGGTAGGGGAAGGAGAGTCTCTAGGTTACATGGAATCAGGAAAAGGATTTGGGATCAGGCTGAGACAGGGAAACTAAAGGATCCATGAAAAACTGCCTTTTCATTCCTTTTCCTGCTTCTATTCTTGCTAGGACCTACATCCCTGCCTTACCCAGGTGTTATAGAACAGATAGTGTATGTCCTCCTTGTAAAGGTCAAGGATTTATTGATTTCACTGGAGTCTTCCAACACAACAGATAATATCTAAGGACCAAGCAGGGTCTTCATGAAAGTTTTCCAAGACCAAAACCAATGACTCATCAAGATCCCTGGCTCCAGGGCATAAGTGGTTTATGGAGGACACCTAACACTTTGTTTCTGGATTACTGAGAAGACAGGTGCACCAGAGAATTGTCCTCAATAAAAACCCCAGGTCTCAAGCAAAGACGACACTCATTTTCCTTCCCTTTCCTTTCCAAGTCTCCCAGATGCTCTGTCTGTATCTATAGTCATCTGCTCTTACTTCCCTCAGATTGTGTTTGATTTCTATCCTATGCGAAGCCAAGGACCCTCTTGGCTGGGCCTGCAGGACCTCTTCTGGGTCCTTGGACCCAGCCAGCCTGCATCAAGGCTGTTTCTTTTAAGACTTTTAAACAAGAGCACCTTCCCCATATTATGAGGGCAATGTGTTTAAAAACAAAAAACCTTAAGGCCATTTATTATAAGTCAATTAAACTATTATACTATTAATCTCCATGGGAAAGATTTTACATATTTCCAAGCTCTAAAATTATAAATTATGCCAGAACACAAATTTTATTAAGATAAACACAATTGGAGCACCTGGGTGGCTCAGCAGTTGGGTGTCCGACTCTTGATTTTGGCTCAGGTCATGACCGCAGGGTCGTGGGATTGAGCCCCACATCAGGCTCCACACTCACAGCATGGAATCTGCTTGTCCCTCTCCCTCTCCCCACTTGCGTTCTGTCTCTTTTTCTCTGTCTCCCTCTCTCTCTGTGTCTAAATAAATAAATAATTTTTAAAAAGATAAACAATTATTTCAACATCTGACATAGCACAAAAATGTCATTTCTTTAATTAACTACAATATGGCTGTGTGACCATCTTCATTCAGCATTGTCTTAGGAAGGTGTTATATACAATACACTTAAGACTTTACAAAGCATACATGTAATATCTAATGTCCATTTATCTGAACATTTATGCCAAAAAAATAAAAAGAAATATGAAACTAACAGAAACGATGCCAAATTATCACTGCTATAAACTAGCAAACAACAAATGCCTTGAGAAAACTTCATGCAACATTTACATATGGTTAAGTAAGATTTAATTAGCAAAGTTTAACAAAATTTTATTGGAAACGAGGTAACCACAGAAAGCAGAAGCAGGGGTGCCTGGGTGTCTCAGTTCGTTAAATGTCTGACTCTTGATTTCAGCTCAGGTCATGATCTCGGCATCCTGAGATCAAGCCCCACATTAGAATACTGGAGTGGGTCCTTCTGTATCATAGCAACTCATCTTTTGTGAGCCATGCTTTTATACTCAAGCTAATCAGAAGAATTTACACACACACACACACACACACAAATGTATGCATTGTTGTGTAAAGGAATGTTTATAAATTCTGGACCCTTTAGTCATCCCTACAATATAGCCAGAATCTATCAGGTGGCAATAATGATTGCAGTGCCCAGATGTCACCCAACAATATCTCTATCTCCAGTTACTCCAGCAACTCAGGAAGACCTTTTCCCTTACCATGTAAATAGTGCTCACTATAGAGCTAAATGGTATACAAAGATTATATTTCTTTTATTGCACAACCTTTTAAAAACTCCTAGTTGATGGGGCACCTGGGTGGCTCAGTCGTTAAGCATCTGCCTTCAGCTCAGGTCATGATCCCAGGGTCCTGGGATCGAGCCCCACATTGGGCTCCCTGCTCTGCGGGAAGCCTGCTTCTCCCTCTCCCACTCCCCCTGCTTGTGTTCCCTCTCTCGCTGTGTCTCTCTCTGTCAAATAAATAAAATCTTTAAAAAAAAAAAAATCCTAGTTGCCTTTCTATTTTCCACTGCTTGACTTTATGATACCCTAGGTTTTTTTTACAAACCCTCCTTGGTATTGTTGCTGGGTGAACTGGGGAGACCTCAGGCCCTGGGGCCTTGACCCAGCCAGACCCAAAGGAGTTGCTGAAAGTTCTTGGACTTGTCATGAGAATGAATTCAAAGACAGACAGACACACAGCACAGTGGACAAGTGACACAGGTGGGAAAGTTTATTAAAGTGAAAAGTACACTCTTGAGATATGAGAGCTGGTGAGCTCAAGAGAGAGAGAGAGATGCATGCCCAGGGGTTGGGTTTTTCTTTTATTGACAGTTGTTAACTAGAGGGCAGAATATTCATTACCTGGGGTGTGAAATGGAGTTTCCTACTTTTTCTTCCCAATTTGGTCAGGAGTTTCCTGTTGTTGCATCCACCACCTTGGACTTGTCTGGTTTGATCCGGCTTATTGTGAAGTACTGCCAGGACAGGATTCTGACTTCTGATAGCTGGCCATGACTTCCTTAGTGCTGGTCTCCAGGTGTCCTGTTAGAACCTATATGTTTACTCTTAACAATATGAAGACACAAATTTCCAGCCCTGCTGCTGAGCATGGACAACTGTCATGCTGAGTCCACAATTTCCCCACAATGGACCCATGCTTTTCAGGACACGATGTCCTCCTCATTCTTCCTTCTTTTGCTGGAGCACACCCTCCAATAATGAAGATGTTTAGTCATATCTTCAGGGCCAGGTATATATAGGAATGTCCTGCTCCCTTTTATATCTGCCCGGTTTGGCTTTTATGGACTCAAACTTTCTTCTAAGGAAACTCTCCCTCCCACTCAGTTGGCTTATCTTCTTTCATTTTGCTACCACTTGCCCAATGTTCCTGTCCTGACTACAAGCCTAAATCCTATTTCCAAAACTAATTCCATTAGTTGTTGAGTATCTGAGAAAAACTTTTCTGTTAAGTGTTGGAAAAGCATTTACATTTTTTT